TCTTGGACCTACCCTTTAAGTACATTTCAATAGGGAACCCATGTAACATAAAACATAATTAAAATAAAGTGTACATTTTTTTTTATTTTAAATGGTGATGAGGGTGTGCCCTCTTGTTCCCAATGGAAGTGAAGGCCTACCATCAACCAACTTGTTTTATGCAAGATTTAAAAAAAATAAAATAAAAAAAGTGTTTCTAAATTCATTATTTAGCCTGGGGTGAGCACAAACAGAGACCAAAATATAATGAAGTCCGCCATCAGGAGTGCATAATACAATCATATAAAAGAAAAAGCAGAAAGGTTTTTCAAAAAGCCTGAATTACATTCTAAAAACTCTGAGCCAACAGGTTTTTTTTTTTTTTTTAATAAAATATAAAAAGCTATTCAAAACGTTAACTAAAAGTGAAGCAAAAAGAAAAGGATAGTTCATAGAATGAGAAAGAGAGCCAAGAATGTAGGAAGTAATGTGTAACGTGGGGTGACTGGGGGAGGGGAAAAGAGCAGGTTTGGGAGAAAAAATACTTTTCAAAACGAAATCCATCGTAACTGCACTAAAAATAAATAAACAATATACTGGCAGCTGTTAAACGATATTGATTAATGGGACATTTTGCAAGTGACACTAATCTGTTGAACCGTCAGATTTTAGTGTCTGACTTCCTGTTCTTTTCCTCTGAAAAACTCCCTTCCTGATTATTTTTGCTGAATCCTCAAAGCTATGTAAACACTTGTATTCTAAAATTATTCGACTTCAAGTACATGTTTATGCGTTGGGTCATAAAGTTTAAATCGATGCGCCCATTTCCTTGGGTATCTTTTACAACAATGAAACAAACAAATAATAAAAAGTTACCTGCCCACCGTTCCAAACCCCAGACCGCTTTCCATGCATTAGCTAGATAAAATATATTAAAAAGGGACACTCTGGGCCCCTCTGCCATCTCCCCCATTGGCCTCTTACTGAGAGAAGTTCTTTAGCAAGGTATGTACACCATTTTCTCTTTACTGTAATACCGAACATGTATTCTGAATAAAAATGATTATTGACAAACAAATCTTGGAGGTACAACATATATACAAAATAACCAACATAATTTCTGCAGCCTCCCACAATGCACTTCTTAGAATTAAACGCTAAAGGGGCATGCCTTAAAGGACCACTATAGGCACCCAGACCACTTCAGCTCAATGAAATGGTCTGGGTGCCAGGTCCCCCTAGTTTTAAGCCTGCAGCTGAAAACATAGCAGTTTCAGAGAAATTGCTATGTTTACACTGCAGGGTTAATCCAGCCTCTAGTGGCTGTCACCCTGAATAAATTCACCCTGAATAAAAAAAAACAGAGTAAATCGCACTTATTTGACGCTGGACGTCCTCAGCCAAACAGACTGTGTGGTCCCCCTTGTTAACACCTCGTAATCACCGACCACTCCTTGCTGTTAACTGCAAACAAGCATTCCCTGGTTGGCGGCCATTCGTATATACGAATGCACATCTTCGTCTCCTGAACCCAGGCAGCAGTACATGGTCGTCGACGGCATGGATCTCTGAGTCGGCTACACAAGCCCACGAACCCCGCTGAAACTTGTATCCCTGCCCGATCAAATTCCCGACCAGCTGGGATAACGGTAAAGCATAAATGCTGTACAAAATTCTATTAGAACTAGCACTGACCCGTGGATTAGTTGACTTTAAAATGAAGTTTAGGACTAAAATGTCTCGACTTATACATGAGTATATACGGTAACTGGTTTGTAGATCATAAATGTTTCGGGGAGGCCAAGACCCCATTATTTTTCCTAATACATGCTGTAACGGTAGTCACCATCACTGGCAAAATAAGATGGACACTTCAATTAGATCCCTGGATGACTCCAATGTTTAAAGGGACACTATAGTCACCCAGACCACTTCAGCTCAATGAAGTGGTCTGGGTGCCAGGTCCCTCAGGTTTTAACCCTGCAGATGCAAACATAGCAGTTTAAGAGAAACTGCTATGTTTACATTGCAGAGTTAAGCCAGCCTCTAGTGGCTGTCTTCTGGACAGCCACTACAGGTGCATCTGCGATGCTGGAGGCATTTAATGCCTCCATCACGCAGAGCGTCCATAGGAAAGCATTGAAAAATGCTTTCCTATGGAGACTTTGAATGCGCGCGCGGCACTTGCAGCGCATTCGGCTCCGCTGACGTCAGTGGGGAAGAAGAGGTCAACAGCGCCGAGGGAGCCTGGCGCTGGAAAAAGGTAAGCTGCTGAAAGGGTTTTAACCCCTTCAGCGCCACGGGAGGGTGACCCTGAGGGCGGGGGCACCCTCAGGGCACTATAGTGTCAGGAAAACCGCTTAGTTTTCCTGACACTATAGTGATCCTTTAAGTCACCCTGTGCTCATTGTAGGTGCAGGGTGTGTGTAATGTATTATGTTTTTATGTTAATGGTTTGTGTGCTCTCCTGTCCTGCTAATGCTTGGTACCAACTAGGAGCCTGTATAGCGCCCTCCGTTGGTTACAGCTATATGCACTACCTGAATAGCAAGGCTTGCTAATTTGCATATTTGGGTAGATTTGCATATTGCTAATTCTGCAGGCAAGAGAGATATTGTGTGTTAATTAATACCCCTCCTTATAAATATGTCATTGTGTTATAATAAGTTGCTGTATGTGGTCTGCTATGATTTGGTTATTTGTATTTTATTTGAATTGTCACAGCAATCTAGATGTAATAAATCTATGGGCTAGTCCTGAGAAAGTTTTGTTTGTCAGTTCCTTTTGGAACTTGTGTCCCGTGTGGATTTTTAGGGATCCTAGTAACAGAGTCTTCAGGCCTGGTTGCAGGATCCCTCTAGGCCTGGCATAATTAAAGAGAGTTAAGCATGAGAGCTGCAAGTGCCTTTGAAAAGGCAATAACTATAATCGCTGTAAGCAGAGCTGCAGTGGAATAGGCAGAGGGGACAATACCTGTCTGGAAGAAGAGCTGCAGTGGATTAGGTAGAGGGGACTATACTTGCCTGAAAATGAGAGAGCTGTTATCTGGTCAGGTGCATAAGCTCCAGAAGGCCCCCAGTCAAGCTGTGGCAACTGGGGCCAAAGCGTTCCTGGGTCCCAGCAAACGGCTAGGCAGCGGACTTGATGGAGGTACTCAGCCGGGGTACAGGGAGCTCTGTCACACATGCCTCACCATTAGGTTAGTAGCAACATAGAGTAATAGGTTTGTACTAGTAATATTTAGTATTGGTGTAGGGTTAACGTTTAGTGATATTGTAGAGCAGGGGTAGGCAACCATTGGTTCTCCAGATGTTCTGGACTACATCTCCCATCACGCTTTGCAGACACTATGGCTGTAAAAGCATTATGGGCCATGTACTCCAAATCATCTGGCGTGCTGCAGGTTGACTACCCCTGCTGTAGAGTGTTGGGATAATACAGATTTTTAAGTGTAGTGCAAAGTGTTAGGATGGTGAAAGGATTAAGTAGAAGACTTTTCTTTGACAGCAATCCAGTGCTGCCCGAGGTTAGTGGCAGCTGTTTTACTTACTAGGATAAACACGGCGACATCTATTGCTTGGGAGTGCAACTCCCACTAACCTCAGGCAGCATAAGGGATACACATGTCCCAGTGACGCCTTCACACTATACAAGTACATAGGGTCACTGATATACACTTCCTTTGATCCTACATACCATATCTGAAGTTTAATCTTCTTTCCATCTAGCTCTATGGTGCGAATCTTGAAATCAATGCCTGGAAAACAGAGAAAGAAGAAAATAAATAAATATTTAATAATAAAAATATAGATTTATTGTATTACACACACTGGCTACTGTTACTTGCTTAAAAGGAACATTCCAAGTATACACTTCATGTGTGAAGAGTGTCCTATTTTTTTTTTCCATTTTATTAACCCCTTAAGGACGGCGGGTGTGCTATGCCGTCCTTGGGGACTTGGCTCTAAACGCCAGCGGGCGGCATAGCATGTCCCCGCCGTCCTTTCTACTTACCCGGTCGCCGGCGATCCCACGCCGGCGATCGCGGTGTGGGGACTCATCTGGCAGCCCAGGGAGTCCCCCTCTGTCTGTATATATACACACACACACACACACACAAACACACACACAGTCCAAGTGTAGTTTAATATATATATTAATATCAAAATACACGTGGAATGATATTGATTAAATATATATTTATATATAATATAAAATAAATAAGTAAATACGCTAAAAAATAAAATTATATATATTGTCAGAATATTTATATCAACAGACATCTTGTGCTAAAAATTACACAGGGAGCGGAAGGGAGCTGCTGGGAAAGGTAATTAAGCACTTGCTGCGGGCACCCCAGGACCGCTGGGCTTGTAATGGTCCCGGTATGTATTATCGGCAATATCGGTATCTCTATTGGCCGATACCCATATTGCCGAATATCGGCCGATAATATCGGCAAAACCGATAATCGGTCGATCCCTACTCCAAGGATCATTGTTTGGCAAAGGGGAAATCCCTATCGGGCATCAACTCCATCAAAGCCCTGTAGCATTCTTAGAGGGCCTTGGGTTTCTTGGGTGAAGCTTTGCCTCTACCGTTGATGGTGCTCACCGCAGTGGATAGTGGTGGTTTTGAGTCAGGGTTTGTTTGGACGTGTGACATTATTATACTCTTTAGTTGTAGGTACTGGAAAATATACGAATTTGGCAGTTGGCATTTGCTTTGTAGTTCTGGAAAGGGTACAATAGTTCCCTGATTGCATACTACATCTATATATTTTACACCTTTTTGAAGCCAGGAGCGGAGGTAAATCATGGTGATAATGCTGATAAAGTGGAGAGTGGGGTGTCCTTGAGAAATTTATGACTCTGCCCTAAATTGGTCCCAGTGTTGAATGGAGGGGATCGTGGATGGGAATAGCAGTAGAGTTTTATGTCTAAGATGTTTAGGTGTCCATAGGACATCGATTAAGGAATTACCAGGAACCCGGGAGCTCTCCATGTCTACCCATTGTAGGTCTCCTTTTGAGGCATGCATCCTAACTGCGGATTCCAGCAAGGAAGCTTTGTGATACAGTTGCACACTGGGGAGATCAATATATCTGCTATTTTAATGGAATGTCCCTTTAAGAATTATAATGCATACATCAGGACCCCAAAAACCTTATTTCTTGCAATTTTGCTACAGATATATATTTTGGTTTACTCTAAGATATATATACACAAAACGCATGTATGTTTACAAAAAACAGCCATTTCGTCCATGTTAGGCATATGTGTTATAGGTTTGTAGGTTCCAGAAAATAAGACAAAACCCAGAAATATTTTTTAGAACTTTCAATTTAAAAAAAAAAAAAAATTAGTTTTTACTAAGGATAGAGTGTGTGTGGGGGGCGGCGGGGTGGAATTAGCTATAGCTACCACTTTGCTATTTTGCCTACTTCTAATGTTGGCGTTTCCCAGCATCTATTTTAGATTTAGGGCCTCCCCAATGTTTAAAAAAAAATTCTGTCTAAACCACCAGCACTCTGTCATGACTAGTGATGATCCCCCGGCCAATTCAATGCTTCTCGTAGCGATCAACTGGGACAGAGGACACACGTGTGTCAGTCACTACACGCCACGCATAGAGAAGCAGTGACTTACCACCGTGACATGTATCATTTTTTCCACACAGGCACCGCTCAGTGATCTTTTCCAGGAGCTCTTTACAATAAATGAACAGGCACATATTTCCCCAAATGAAACCCACATCTTATCATTGTCTGTCATCGTATGAGCAGATCCCTAGCCTCCTGTTGTTCCCATAATCATATATTTGCCATCACTTGTTTGATTCCTCTACCCATTGTACAGTCCTGTGGAATAGGTTAGCGCTTTATAAATCAAAACAACTTGCTGTATGTATTCCAAACACTGAACAATTACCTCATGCTTTCCAAAAACAGAGAAGACACATACGGAAATTTCATGTCCAAAAGGTGACTCATCTTTTACCTCACTTCCACCTCTTCTCTCGCACATATTCTATTCTACCAATATCTGACATTACCTTAAAGGGACACTTCAAGTTCTCTGGAAATTCTACCACTAAATAGAACATTGACAATCATCTATGACTTGTTCGCATTTTGTCACCTGATGCTCTGTTCTCTTAAATAATATATTAAAGATTTAGCAATCCAGGCATAGTCAGGCACTTAATGCAAATAAGAACAGGTTTTATTTCTCCTCTTCCCTGTCTGATTTCTCTATGCAGATTGCCAGGTGCAAAGTACAGATCTTAGAACAATGATTGGCAGTGAGTGATGGTGAAGAATTGAGGTTGCAGAATAAAAAGAGATGTTGAATGCTAGCGTTATTTGTATTTTTCACATTTGCGAATTATGGATAGGTAGACTTTATATTAAAAACCCCGTAAATAGGACATTCCAAAAAACCCTGAATTTTACAGAGATTGAAGCATTGTCCTCCAGCATGCACCCTCATTCAAAGGTAACCTCAGGCAAACAGACTCCAATTACTCATGGATCCCATTCCACTCCCTTTACGAATGTTCTCCTTTGTCTCCCATCTCAATGCAGAATTTTACTTCACTCTTACAAACATTTCCAGTCCTACCATTCAAGTATCAGTAGACATTGCCATTTAACTGGATATTGAACATTATCATTGGCCCTTTAGAGCAGGATCTCCAACTAGAACCAAGGGAATTATAGACTCTTAGAATTCAAAATAAACTAAATGGCTTACTTTGGGTAAGGACAAACCTAGGGCTGAGAATAGAATGGGAAACCTATGAAAGTGCTACCATTCAACATCTTTTGAATATTTTATAGAGAGCTCCATTTACCGTTCTATTTCTGTGGTTCACAAGAATATCAGGGTGGTCTACTGTGTTCTTAGATTCTGCAAACAACCGTTAACATTTCTATTATATAGACTGACAAAAAGGGAAGGGTTAAGTAAAGGGACAAACCAACACCACAACTACTACAGCTCACTGTAGAGATTATGGTATGGTAATATGGTCACCATTCACCTGTTTATAGTCACAGAGGAAAGAAAAATGTCCAGGCACTCCGTGTCTTAGATAGGCAAGTTTATTGGAAGTACAGTGTCCAGCAGCAACATTTTGACCAAAGGGTCTTTTTGAAGCTTGAAATAAGACCTTTTGGTCGAAGCGTTGCTGCTGGATACTGTACTTCCAATAAATTTGACTAAGACTTGGAGTACCTGGACATTTCCCTTTCTTCTGGGACTAAAAACTACCTCTTGGGCCTTGGTGCTGGCCCCAGGTTTGGATGCACCCAGGTTTGACAAAGGACGTCATTACTGTAAGGTTTAAATGCATTATTATGCACCAAAAACATTTGTGCGAGTAACTGGGACTCAAATGCACCTTTAACCTTTTGGACACTGTTCACCTGACATGGGCCCCAGAGTCAATTTGTCACTAAAAAATAGCCTGACAAACATGCGAGGGACTACACCCATAGCTGGAGTGTTAAGGATGTGTATAATGTCCCTTTATATGCTTCGTCAATTGTGTTCCAAGAACAAAATACATATTCAGCACTCCACTATTCAATGTGAGTTCCTGTATTCAGGCCAACAGAAAAGACAATAGGAGAAGTGACAAATTATTTAGTTGAGCCAGAACCATAATACTTGCATTTTCAATAATGCTTTTTCTTGTGTCTTTTTTAATGCCTGCCATAGCCACCCATACAGTGAATTTACTAAAGGTCTTGCCAATCCCCTGCTTGTAGAGGGCTTGATGTACGAATATCTTCACGTTGAAATATTAATACACACAGTCTACTCTATTGTTTCGAGCAGGAAGCAGGCTCTGTGCGTCATGGTTTGTACTGTGATAATAGACCACTTCCTGAAATGTACTGCTTTGACATCCTAAGTGCAGAAATCTGTATAGAATGAGAACGTTGATAATGTACAATTATCTATATTAACAATATCGCTGGAAAAGATTTAGCAAATTAGTCAAGTACATAAAAAGAAAAAAAAGGATGCTGTGTTTAACAATACAGACGGACTACTACCTTCTCATTTTGCATCACGCATTCACTCTTAAAGAAACAGTATTTAAATAAACACCACTGAATTTATTTCACCTTTGTTACTACATTAATTTATTCTAATAATAATCTACTACTGTAATATTTTGTACGTGCAGTCACATGTAGTTATTGATATTTTGGATGATGTAACTTAGTTGGCAAAATACATTGCCACTCCTATCTGTAAATTCCTTCAAATAACTGTATCTCTATTCCTTAGGTCCAATTCCACAATCCATCTAAATCAAATCCACTTCATTTCTGCTCAGCTCTGCCCACTAACCACCTATATCGCATGCTCTTCCAGCTGTTTGGTACAGTCAATCACCTCCTCGTTCCCTTCACATGTGACCAGTTACTGCAATTATACTATTAATTATGTCTGCCATCACCTCCAAATTCCTCTGCTACCTCTGGTCTCATCTCCCCACTTTAACCTTTAGATTGTAAGCTCAAGGGCTACCTAGCGAAGTACTCTGTATAAAATATCTTCAGGGACTAGATCTCTGCTCACCGGCAGGGCCCTCTACCTTTTGTAATGGTCTGTTCACATTGTAATATTTTCAGAACAGTTGGTGCTTTTAAAATGCCTTTAATAAAAAAATAAAATCAGTACCAGGCAGACATTTCTCTCCCCAGGATCAGTCAGTAGTCTCTAATTCTGGTCCATGGGAGGTGATCCGATCTTAAAAACCTTTGTCCTGCAGCAGTTTGTAGGTGAGAAGGTTATCCCACAGTATCAGTCACACTGGATGACAAACTGCTATATAAACTGACAGCAACCAAACAGGCTGCTACCAGCTTATTACAATCAGGTGAGTGCAATGATAAGCAGGGCTGACCCCGGGAGGAGAGTTCAAGTACACGGTCCCTCGATCAATATCCTACAAGAGCAAGTTGGGGGAAGAGAATGATGGGGGGGTGGCGGGGGACTTACATTTTTTTTTAATTGGTTTATTATATTTCTATGTATCTCACATTAAACCATAGGAATTGGGGAAACATCATGAGTTCCGACAGGATCAGTCACACTGTGCATTAAACTTTAAAAATGCAAGTTTGAAATCCAAATTTGCAAGAAAGACAAAATAAATAGTCTCCAGGTTTATGCTGGAGATACATCTGAGTGATACAGGCATCATCTAGCTAGCACATCAACGAAAACACCTACAGTGGAAACAGCTCTACACGGTTACTGTAGAATACTCTGCTATACGGCCTCCTTTCTATTTATCATTGGTCAAATGCTATAATCTGATAACTTATCTGGCAAGAAAACAACTGCAATGTGAAGGTGAAGAACATCAAGGTCAACCTGCTAACAGTCTTGGCAAAAACAAAATAAATACAAATATACACAATTAAATAAAATATGGAACTACTCAGTTAAAATGGCCTGGTTTACCACTCTGGTGGTAGAATCCCAGACTTTGCCTAGTTTATTTCTAATTTTATTTTCTCCATTTCTCAAAAATGTAAGGCTCCGAGGTTTGCTTGCCTATATGTTTCAAACTAAATTGGGAATATAAAGCCTAAAGGCTCCAACTACTCACAATGCTGCCAACATAAAGTATCTACGTATTTGGATTGCTGACATTTTGGGGTGCACATTTCATAATCTAGTTTATTGCTCCCTGCTATGTTTTGAAACACGGATGACTACGTAAATAAAGATTGTCTAAAAAAATATAAAGTTTATTGCTTCAATTATTAATGAAAGTATATATACATATATATCAATGGGCAAGAGTTTCGGACAATATGTAAAAACATTGTCCCTCCAACTTTATTCAATAAGTCATGTTAAATGATTTTTCCCATGATGCTCTGTTTTGTTTGAAATTAAAGAAACTATAACTTTAGTAATATAAACCTGTATTCCTCATGCTATAGTGACCTTTCCCTCGTTATTTATAACCACAACCCCCCTCCCCAACTTTTCCATAAAAATTAACCAAATAAAGCTTTTTACTCACCCTTTTCTAGTTCCAAGACTCCAACAGCGATGTTCTTGTGGTGTCACGGCCTTCTCTAAGAGCATTGGGACCTGATTTGCATGGGCACATAGAGGTCACCCAGGTTTCCTCGAAGGAAAGTATTGTATTCAACGCTTCATATGAGATTCTGCATCAAGTGACAGTTTTACTGGGTCAGTGCAGCAGATGATCCTTTAGTTACTGTCCTGTCCTGAAGACCGTGTCTTACATTGCATTGCTAAAACGACAAGACCACTGCAGCCAGACCATGTCCTGGTGACTTTAGTGGTCCTTAACCACTTAAGGACACATGACATGTGTGACATGTCATGATTCCCTTTTATTTCAGAAGTTTGGTCCTTAAGGGGTTAAAAAGCAACACTTTAGGTACCATAGCAACATCTAAATTAAGTTATGGTGCAAGCAAGTCCCAGGTGCTGGCACACATTTACGTTTGTTTTTTTAATGAATGGGGAGCTACTAACTGGCAGCTGACAGCCCTAAGTCAATCCACGGCCCCCCTATCCCAGCTAAGATTTCAGATAGCGGAAGGATCGAGCAATACGGGGATGGTACACAGACTTCGGGGTTAAGCCATTCACAAACGGTTTAACCCCTAAAAGGTGAGCTAGTCCAGGGACCTCAGGGCACAATACCAATGTCATACTGATAAAGTGGTTATGCTGCCCAAACTGGTTCTTTAAAAATCTAGGAAGTGACCTCATAATCCAATTCAGCTCATGCACAGCCAGGACACAGAGAGAAACACAGTTTCAAAGCTTTAAATTCAATGTTTTAAAATGCCAGGTAATATTTAGAACAGGGGTAGGCAACCTTTTAGCAGCACTGTGATGATTGTGATGTCCTGTAGCGTGTCGGTCCTATTTCTTTAAATTGAGGTGTGCATGTTGCCATATTCTGCTTGTGTTATTTATACTGCTGTTGCTTTGTATCGTTGTATTTGTGCGTACATGAGCTATTATATTGTATATGTTCATGAGTAGTTTGTGGTATTGTGTAGGATACCTATGAATTTGGGCTGTGTATGGGGGCTGCTTGTGGAATTGTGTGTGGATGGATATGTCACATGTCACACTGTGTATTTGGTAATGTGTGGGGCTGTTTGGGGTATTGTATGTGAGAGGCTGCATGTGGGGTTGTGTGTATGTATGTGGATTGTTAGTGGTGGTGTGTTTGTGCGGACTGTATGTGTGTTTGTGTGTGAGCTGTTTGCATTATTTGCATGAGGGGAGGGTTATTCTGCAGCTCTGTGTATATATATATATATATATATATATATATATAGCAGTGTGGGAGGCTTCCCTGGGTTTTAGTGGGCACCAGGTTGCCCAGGTACAGCTCAAGGACAGAAGCTGCAATAGGAAGCTGTGGGCTGCTCTACTCCAGTGTGCTGGGAGGAAGTGATGTGAGATCACTTCCTCTACGTGGTGCAATGCATAAATGGAGGATTGTTCTTCACCACCTTTTGCGTATTAGCAGATATCTGAAGTTTCACTGGGACTCCTGACAGGCCAGAGCCTGTTTGGCTCTTGTAGCCTTGAGTGCCGTGCAAAGGCACTTCGAGTGCCATGCATGGCACTAGTGCCGTAGGTTGCCTACCCCTGATTTAGAATGATGATGCCGATGCCTAGTTCCGAGGATAGGTTTCTATATTTATAAATAATTTTTCAGAAATCACTAAACATATTTGCTAAATTTAAGGGGTATGTAAATAGAATATTACAAGTCCTGGGGAGTAAGTTTGAAGTTCCATTGAGACAGACTACAAAGTTAACTATTCAGCTCTTTGTCATGAGATGAATACGTACTCAAAAAAAAAACAAAAACAAACAAAACAAAAAAAACATTTCACATTACTGAACATTAAAAGTAATACTGGGATAAAGTTATAACCATGCAGCTATCACCATGGAAACAAGTGGGATGCTCTTGGTGTCTTGCCCACCACATTTATAACTTTGCCCCCACAATCGTTCTTTATAAAGCTTTGTTTTTGACATATTCCACATGGAGTGTAAAACACTGAAATGCTGGGTCAGAGACCTCAGTCTAAGAGTGATGGCAGACAATTCAAATAAGGGTTGGAGTTTAGAATAACAGGCACTAGTGTACGGGCAAAGATATAAAAAGGACTGAAGTCAGCTGATCTCATTCTATCATTGGTCACCCATCGCATGTAAGTGTACGGACATTTTAAACCTGTATTCACAAGGGATGGCCAGTGATAGGCTCTTCACTGCCGTCCTTTCACTGCTCCAGATTTCAATACAGTCAGTCATAAAGTCAGCAATTATTCTGAGGAATGCTTTCATTAAGAGTCCCAATGTCTATTATAAGCAAATTCCTTTTACTTGTGACCTGCAGCACATGGTCTGAGAAAGTCATTAACAGTACTCTGGTTATTTCAATCCAGTCTCCCAGCAAAGGACTCTCTGAAATATATATATATACACATATATGTAAATCTTAAAGGGACACTCCTTGCACTAGGACAAGCTATGCTCCTTGCACTGTACACTGTTACAGGAATGAGGCATTGTCCCTGTCCAGCATTTTATAACAGCTGCAATTTGCTCCTATAGATCATTATAGGGCCTTATGCCTGCCCAATGTGTATAATGTGTCCCCACTATACATGTCCCACTTCCTGCAGCCAAAGCTGCAGTACCATCTATAACTCCATTCAAAAACCTGTGATTAGAACAGTATAGAATCAGTAAGTGGACAGCAAGAGACATCTGCAGCATTTGATCTCATCTGATGATGTACCAACTGATGGACTGAGCAAGCTTTGGTCCTACTGAATTGTCCAGTCTCCAGGAAATTATGTTTTATTCTGTTATTGTTACACATACAGCGTCTCTGTAAAACTGAAAGCTGTGTTTATGCTTTACAAAGACGTCTGCGTATAGATTGTATGCTTTATTAAGGCTGCTTTAAGCAGGGGGAAGAAAAAAAAAATTTAAAAAAAATAAAAAAGGTAAAAAGGATGTTGTTTACCATTACATACTAATATAGGCACGTTTCACATGAACTACTAATGCGGTGTTAGAAATTCTGCTGATATAAGTAAAACATTTAGGGAACATTTAGGGAAGTGCAAGAATATATGTGAGAATCCTGAACACATCAATTTTTACTTTTTGACTGACTCAGAAAAACTCCCTTCACAACTAGTATGTTTTCCTGGCACTATAGTGGTCCTTTAAACTGAAGTGGTCCTTTAATTCTTTCAAACTCAAACGTTTTGCACAGCACATTTCATCATTGCATCCACACTGGGATTTTTATAGAAAACCATCAAAATAATCGTTTGCATTTATCGAGCAAACAAAAAGTTACCAATGAATACGAACACAGTTATTTGCTAAAAGAGCATAGCCAAGAATTCAATGTGAATTTAAGGTATAAGGAAAAAATAGCCAAGTGGAATAGAGAGATTTTTTTCTAATTTGCCAAAATGCTAAATTCAAATTTAGACAGGAAACAGTGAGGACAATTGAGTCCAACATGAAAATATATGCACTAGTCTTAGCACACTTCTTGCGCACACTTATGATCATTGGAGGTATAATTCTAGGGGGATCTACCTCAACTCTCCCTTATCCTAGATCCCATGAGTTCAGAAAACCCACCGTACACCTCAAATCATCATAATCTGTTAGAAGAAGAAAAAAGTTCTAGAAATTCGTTATATACAGAAATCACATTTAAAGTCTATGGGATTTTTTTGTAGATAAATAATTTGAAACAAGTTTTTTTTAAATTTATTTTCTTAAAAACAGATTGTGACAATTTGAAAACTATTACCAAAGATAATTGTATCGAGAGCTTAGCCACCCAATGACATACCTGTGTATAAATAATTATGTGCGATTGATGAGCTTTGAGAAACATTTAAAAAACATGTGTAATAGGACAGGTTTATATGTTTATCACGCAGTCAGTTTTGAGGACTTGTGCAGATGTGATAAATACAGTAAGGCAAATCAAGTACACATACACACGTCACTTTGTGTTCACTGGATCGATCTCATGTTCACTATGACATGGGCATGGAAAGTGTTAACCTTCATTTTGCTGCGACATCATGAGTTATTTACATGCTTACAATTGCAATTATTTATATAGCGCCAACATATTCCGCAGTGCTGTACAGTAGGTAAACAAGACAAACATTTAATTGTAACAAAACACGTATGATATACAGGGACAGTAGGTGAAGTGAACTCTATCCCAATGAGCTTACAATCTAAATGAAGGGTACTCAGGTATTCAATAAGTGCTACAGACAGGAAAATCATGAGCCCTTGAAAATATTACTAACCTATTGGTCAGATAGGCCAAGACACAGAACCAGATGGATGTGGTTCTGATTTGGTTATAAGCACTGGAGATTAAAACACTCACAATGAACTCAGCAATTTGAAAGATGGAAATGGTAAGGGGTACGAGGGAGAAGGTAATGGAGTAGGCTACAGGAAGGTGAAAGCATGATTTTCAGTTTCACAAACTGGATATATCAGTGTAAAAACCACACTGGGAATCCCCTAAAGGATTCAAATGTCATTCAGTTTTGAAATAGCTTCAAGAGGACCGTTTGTGGGGTTTTTCTCGAGCTAGGCGTATTGGTGTGTACATACATGCACAGTCACACGCGCTGTATGTAGGAGTTACAGTATTAGCCCAGTAACTGCATATTGCAATATCTTATAATACCTTCTTTATTGGACACAGTATCTGGAACACACGCACTTTCTTTACATGGTCACACCAGGAGATCACATGATACAAACAGGGTTAACTCACTAAAAAGGAACAAACATGTATTCTTGACACTGTAGTCGTAAAATAACTATTTATGTCACAGACTGCATCTGTTTACAGTAAAAAAAAAAAAAAGTGATTTTATTCGCCTTTTCTCCCAAACCGTACCAATCTCGCTATGGCTGAGATCATCAAACTTGATCTCGGTCAATTCAATGCTTTCCCATATTGAAGCATTGAGAGGCTATTGCGCATGCGCGACAAGACACCAAGCTGTGCCAACATCATCTTCTCATAGAGATGCATTGAATAAATGCATCTCTTTGGGAAACGTTCAGCGCCTCCATGCAAAGCGTGGAGACACTGAACGCCAGTGCTGTGCTGGGCTAGGAAGTACCTCTAGTAGCCGTCTCAGTGACTGCCACTAAAAAGTATTACCGGCATAATGTAAACACTGCATTGTCTCTGGACCATGACAAATAAGACGATGACTCCAGAGGAGGCATTTAAATAATCGAGTTACCTCGAGTTGGATTCCAGTTAAGTTTTACTGAATTTTTAAATGTTATCCAGGGGGGAAAAGGGGAGGGACGCACTGAGAGAAATATAAAAAATATAAATCATGGTAAAACGGATTTAAACCGGTTTGCTTTCACAAAACCAATGTGCTACTTGAAATTGTATATTAGTATACATACTGTCAATTATATTCTCTGAAAGAATTAAAAAGGCTATGATTAGAATACCTACGATGAAAAAAAAAGGGCAATTAAACAAAGAACACACTCTTAAAATCATACGCTTTCAGGAAGGATGTGGGAGTTCACAAGCAGTTTAAACCTTTCAGTTTTCATAAAAGCATGCAGCATATATTAATGCATTGCCATTAAAATCTGTTCCCCATATCCATTCACAAATAAGATTGCTAGCTCTGGGGAGCAGACTGGCAATTAGCAGAGTAAGAGTGGGTGTAGATATAGTGTTACCAAGGAGGGAGAACGACAATACAGCCATAATGAGTCATCATGCCACTCAGCAGATATACAAGCTGTACATCTCGTTCTCTGTCTACTGCGGACACAAAATATGGTGATTGAATTTAAGACTCGGTAATACAAAACAACATGCAAAAAATATCTCGGTATTTACTGCTTATTGTATTTCAAGTGTTTGTGTAATACCTACATGCTGTTGATATGTTACCAACAGTTAATGCTTGTCCAAAGGTCACTCCGTGACAGTGTACAAACTGATCACAACGTGACAATCTACGTATTTATTGTAAACTGACCGCATGAGAGTTAATTAGAATACAAACATGTGCCTTGTTCCCTGAATATGATGCCACTTTCTAACAGTCATGACCGCCTACATGCCACAGTACTGCTAAAAGGGCAATGTGGAGCAATGCTTTTACAGAACACAGTCTTCTTCGAATCCATGCATTGAAAAATAATATACAAAAAAAAAACAAGCAAAACTGCCATTATAAAACACAATATTGTGGGTCACACTGCAAAAATTAGAACAGATCCCTAATCATTGGACTGCTCCTGCACATTCAGAATCGTAACCTATAATTGTTTAAATGATCTAGTAGAGGTAGTGGGATTCTGGGAAGATTCCCTCATCGAAGATACTATGGGAAAAGGAAAAAGTGGAGGGAAAATCTCTACATTTACACAATACTTTCAAGCAATGTTAATAGCAGTCGCAGTTTGATAATTAACGGGGTACTTGAACCACCACCAAAACACTTACATTATCGAAAAGTTGGTGGTGCATACAGCACCATTTGCCGATTCTCAGCACAGAGTTGCCTAGAACTGCAATAATGTGTTGAAGTAAATAAACAACTGTTACAGCTCTAAGCCTGACCCTTAATGATGTCAATCAGAAAGGGTGCACTGGGCTGCCTGCATTCATTTTGTACAAGTAGTGCATCTAACTTGTACTGGGCTCTCTCCTCCCACAAAAGAGAGCTGATCCATATACAGCCTATACAGATTACATGACTCTGCATTAAACAAAGCATGTTTAAGAGGAATTATTGAACATAAACAAAACATGTACATGAAATTAATATTTTAATATGATGTTTTATTAAATGATTGTCTGTGGATGTTGGGTAATCACCAAACATTTACTACAGAACTTGCATATGTGAAATAATACAATCCAAATTGGAATATGTGAATTTAATAACGGATGTGTTTTTCCACCTTAATGTCTTCAAAAATTGCAATACTGCGTATTATAGAACGGAATTTTGTATTGCTTTTGAGTCTTGTTAAAGGACCCCTAAAGGCAACCAGACCACCTCATCTCAATGATATGGCCTCGGTGCAGTGGTCCTATAGTTTTAACCCTGACAATGTAAATTAGTAGATACAATAATTCTTACATTGCAGGGTTAGAATGAACCCGTTGTGAAAAAATTCAATGTACCTGAAATCACTTCCATATACATTAAATATACCATATATCACAAATATACATGGCGTATTCAATGTAAAATATATTTATTTATTCGCCTTTCCTCCGTTCCAGCGACACTACGTGGAAGTTACTCATGTTACACCCATCTCCGGGCCATCCCCCCTGTTTGGGGGCACATCCCCAGGCAGGTAAAGCACCTCAGTGGTCGACATGCTGGCAACATCACATCACTCTATATGCCCCAGCTGTGTGTAAACCTCAAATGGGATGTCTTTTATGCTCTACCTTGTCAGTCAATGTCTCTGCGTGCCAAGGCATTGGCTAACAGCTGGGAGAAAAGACTGCTCTTAAATAGGTTTTTCTCCTAATCTATACATTTGCTAGCACAGTTTGTAGATAGAATTCTATCCTCAATCTAATGAGCATATGTCATTTGGGGCATGACGGGTGCCCTTTAAAACTGCTACTAATGGCTGTGTTCATGAGAGACGCATTGGATTGGATGTTTAGAACAGACAGAGTGACATCACGGGAGGCAGATACAGAATCTACATGGACTCGATATTGGCTCTGGATAAAAAATAAAAATAATTCAATAAGAACAGAGGCTTGTATTCATAATGGTATAGCTTTCCTTAAAAAGTAGTCATAAATATTGCTACTTTTCCGCAAATCCCAGTTTAGGGAATTACCCCATATGGGTGTCAATATTACATTAGCAATGAACCGAATACCAATATAATATGCTCATCACTTATCTGAAACAATATAGAAAATAAAATAAAAATAGGGAAATCATTAGATAATACGATATTTGCCTTGCTACTTGTCTATTTCCTTTTCCCCTCCTAAACCTCTTTCTGAAGCTGAAGTCAAAGCCAGGTTTCCATTAAGACAATCATTTGGTTATCAAACTATTTTTACGTTCCAACCCCACGATCACCACGTTCTTTGAATTATAAGTTATAGCATCTATTAATGCATATAAGCTATTGCCGTGATTTCAGAACCCAAGACAGTTTAACTTGTATAGTGTGGCCATTCAAGCTGTAAGTTCCCAGCAATCTTTTTACAGCTTACAGCATGTCCGTCAGCGTTTATCACTACAGTGTGAATTTTATATGTCATGCCAAAACTACATAACTAATTCAAAAGAAAAGCTAAATGAAAACATTAAATCCATTAATGTAACCTACAAATGTTAAGTGTCACACTGAAAGTAGCACTCGAAGCACCAAAACTACCACATTTCACTCAAGTGGTTATGGTGGCAGGATCACCCAAGTTAGAATCAAACTCTTATAGAGTGATCTGACAATGATGGGGGCTCTCAAAAACATCACTGGTTTCATTTTCAAAACCACTTAATAAACTGATGTCATATTGGCGCTTACACTGAGCTCCAAATTTATCCTCAGTTGGAAACGTGTGCCCACCTGACAGAGTATAACTCTTACTTTTCCTGTATGCAATGACGCCAGCCATCATTGCTGATCACCTACGTACACTGTGCTGCTGGGCAAAAAAACACACAAAAAAAAACAACAGAGTGATCTCTAGATGGGTACAGGCTGCTCCCAAACAAAGATCACTAAAACGGCAGCACACAGGGAGATAAATCAAATATAAGCTTTACTTAAAACTTTAATGAAATAACATTGAAAGCTAGAGGAGCGGCAGGCAGGGTGGGGACCAGCTCAGCATAGAGAAGTTACAGATTCCAAAAGGAGATGCCAGTTACACAAGTACAGCAGCTAGAGGCTGAGTCAGTTTTATGGAGATACTGAATAACATCATCATCATTATTATATTTACATAGCGCCAACCTATTCCGCAGCGCCATACAATATTATAAAAAGGGGGAGAGGGGGTGGGGGGATTTAGCAATAAATCAGACAATTACAGTATGTTACAGGAACATTAGGCTGAGGAGGACCTTGCTCAAACAAGCTTAAGAGTCTAGCCCCTTAGGGACACACGACATGTGTGACATGTCACGATTCCCTTTTATTCCAGAAGTTTGGTCCTTAAGGGGCTAGAGTAGACTAGAGATGGGGTAAAAAGGTAAGTTTCTCCAGTTGCTGAAGAACTACAACTCCCAAGATGCCTTGCCAGGACCCCCAGGGAGTTGCAGGACTGGGCCAGCCCTGGCATGGATCCTGAGAGCAGCCAGGGAAGCCATGGGCAGCCAGCAATGGTACTGGAACCCCCCCTGGCACTCCAGCTGTGTGTGGACTCCATTTCCCAGGATGCACTGCGAGTCATCCCCCAGGAGCTGGAGCCCAGGGCAGCTGGGGTGGGCCAGGGGGCATGCAGTGAGGGCAGCCCTGGCAGTGCAGTGAGGGCAGGGTGGGTACTGACCGATGGTGGAGATGAAGGTGGTGTTGAAGGCGTCCTCGCTGAACCTGAAGAGCAGGCAGGTCTTGCCCACCCCGCTGTCCCCGATCAGCAGCAGTTTGAACAGGTAGTCGTACGTCTTCGCCATCTTTAGTCCTTCCCTCCCCGGAGTGAGGGGAGCCAGCACCGGCCCGCGGGGACAGCGCCAGCCAATGGGAGCTCAGCCTGCGTCTCTCTTCCTTCCAACCGACCCGACCACTCGCAAGTCTGGGGCGGGGCCTGGCGCTCACCGCATCACCCCGGAGACGGGTGACGCGCCTTCATTGACCACGCCCACCCTCCCCTTCGCGGCATTGGCCAGCCGACCTGCTGCGCGTTCAGCGGAAGTGGGCGTGTCCTGCAGCAAAGCTTCACGGGAGATGTAGTTGGGAGGTGTTTGGCCATGTGCCACAGTGCCCATCCTTACAGGAGCCCTCTGACTTTGATTCAGGGTGGGAATTCCTGCAGAGTTATTCACTAAGCACCGAATTATTATAGCCAATTAAATCCAAGCTGTAGATGTAGCAGGGTTTGGAGAATGTATTAGTTTAACCCCTTAAGGACACATGACATGTCATGATTCCCTTTTATTCCAGAAGTTTGGTCCTTAAGGGGTTAACCAAATCAGCTGGGGTTTTTTTGTCTCAATTTTGACAAAGCGGATTTAAAGGGCGCCTGTCGTAACGCTTTGTACTTGGCGGAAATTAATTCCTCTTCATATTTCATCTATACATAGCGCTGGCCAAATCGCTGATAGATATATTGATTCGTGTAAAAAAACGACTGTAAAACGGCGCTCCACTCCTCCCTGGCAGACTGGCTATTGGCAGAGACCAGAGATGGACAACCTTCCGCACTCCAGATGTTGTGGACTACATCCCCCATAATGCTGTTACGGCCATAGAGTTCCCAAAGCATCAGGGGAGATGTAGTCCACAATATCTGGAGTTGCCAAAGGTTGCATATCCCTGGCATTGACAATGCCAATGGCTGCGGAAGAGCACGACTACTGGCAATTCTCTGGCCCAGCTTCAATGTGCGTTCCAGGTGTGTCATCGCATTAAGCGACCCCAGGGAGCAGGACACATAGCATCCTGCAGCAATTTTCAACTCAATTTTCAAACCAAGCTGGTGTCTTCAGCAGAAAGGAAGAACGGAGTGACGACTGATCAAGTCAGTAGGTCAGCGTCATGGTGGGCTGTGCCAGATGTGGGAAGGCCATGGCAGGTATCGCACATGAAAGCGGTAAAAAGAATCAAGAACAAGAAGGTGGGCTAATGGTGGCACTGGACCCGTTATGAAGAGATGAGTATGCAATCTATAGTGCAGCAGGATATTAGCTTCCTGTATGTCCAGCCTGAGTTGATTCCTTGATGTCCCATATCCATGAACACCTAAGAACTGTCCCCAGCAAGCACAGCACAAGCACACATTAGATGTGTTCGTACTATGTTGAGGGCACTTGGAGACAGAGAGCTCTTCATCTGCTCTTTCTGCATGGTCTATGCTGAATGGGGGCAGCCAGGGACGTTGTCAGGTTACCAGGCTGATACATCCCTTTTTGGTAGACCCGGTCCTGCAGTATTGCCCATTTTCAGTGATGCAGGTAGTGTCATGGCCATGCATCAATAGAGCCATGCATGCTGTGTCCTAATTTCATACTTCTCAGTGTTGGGAGATATGCATTGGGTAAAAATTTTATAGGCAAAACCAGATGCTATTCTGGAGTAAAATGCGAAATAATCACCATGGTAACCAACAGAATGTATCTGAACATTTAGTACTTTGATCGTAGAACAGCAACAGTTTTATTAATAAATCTCTCCCCATATATGTTATTAAAGCTTCCTGTTGTGGTTATGTTGGCCACAGTCCTCCCACACCATCTCCAGGTTTAATATCAAATTAATTATGAAAGGTTTCATATAAACTTGGTTGTTTTTTTTTTTTTTTAGAAGCCCAGGAATCATTCAATCTCAGTATCAGTTAGAATGTGGAATTAACACTTATGCATTATCAATTTTCATCAATTGGGATGATGGTGATTGGTTGAGAGAGCTAGATATGGGTTAGTCCAGTATTCTCCCTATTTTGCTCTTTAAAATGAAAGAAAGCGTTATTTGTTTCATTTCCATCACGCCAAAACTCCGCTGCAGCCACTGAAGACAGTGGCATGACTGTTGACACCCGCTCCCCCTCTGAAGACGTCAGCATGCCTATTGACGTCTTCCTTGATCTTGTTCTATCCAATGCTTTTCAAAGAGAAGGATTGAAAATACGGATACACAGCCAAACGCTTTTCCAATCAAAATCTGCTATTAGCAGCAGTATTTTATTGAAGAACCAAGTGGGATTTGTTTCTGGAGGAGGAAGTGCCACTAGTGGCTCTGTAAAAATCAGCCACTAGAGGTGTATTTAAACATTCAAAGGAAACATAGTCATTTTTACAAAAAGGCAGTGTCTTAGATTAAAGGGTTAAAACTACAGGGTGGCTGAACTCAGACCACTTCATTGAGATGAAGTGGTTAGCGTGACTTTAATGGTCCTTTAGGTTATTAGGATCCTGGAACACTAATGATCCCCTAGAAACTAATTTGGGAGCCTTAGTGAGTATTCCCTTTTCCTTCACCCCGTGGTGGAGGTTCACATATTAATCTCCTTTCCCTTACTTCCAAACCCCTGCTGCTGTTTGCTAGGCTAACGCATAGTGGGCTATGCAGTTCCCAAGTTCACATATTAAAAGGACACTGTAGGCACCCAGATCACTTCAGCCCATTTAAGTGGTCTGAGTGTCAACTCCCATTACCTTTAAAGGGACACTCCAGGCACCCAGACCACTTCTGCCCATTGGAGTGGTCTGGGTGCCAACTCCCACAACCCTTAACCCTGCAGGTGTAATTATTGTAGTTTTATAAACTGCAATAATTACCTTGCAGGGTTAACTCCTCCTCTAGTGGCTATCTATTAGACAGCCACTAGAGGTCACTTCCGGGATTATAGCACAGATTTTCTGTGTTATAGCGTCGCTGGATGTCCTCACGCTATGTGAGGACCTCCAGCGTCGCTAAAATCCCCATAGGAAAGCATTGAAAGCATTTTCAATGCTTTCTTATGGGGAAGTCTAATGCGCGGCATAGCCGCGCATTAGGTCTCCCCAGCCGGCGGGCGGGATCAGTCTCCCCCGCCGGCTGACGTGGTGACAGGGAGGAGCGTGGGCGGACCAAGAAGCAGCACCGAGGGACATCGTCGCTGCCTCTGATAAGTCACTGAAGGGGTTTTGACCCCTTCAGCAACCGGGGATGGGGGGTGGGAGGTAGAGGGAACCTGCAGTGCCAGGAAAACGGATTGTTTTCCTGGCACTGGAGAGTCCCTTTAACCCTGCAAGTGTAATTATTGAAGTTTGTATAAACTGCAATATTTACCTTGCAGGGTTAAGTCCTCCTCTAGTGGCTGTCTGCCAGACAGCCACTAGAGGGTCTTCCGGCTTTTTAGGTGACTTTTGGTCATCTAAACGACGCTGGACATGAGGACCTCCAGCGTCGCCGGAAACTCCATAGGAAAACATTGAATAATGCTTTCCTATGGAGAGGTCTAATGCGCGTGCGGCCATTGCCGTGCATGCGCACTAGGTCTCCCCAGCCGCCAGACGTTGGCAGGGGAGGAGTGTGGGTGAAGCCTGTCCCAGCGCCGACAGACTTCTTTTATTATTTCACCAGACTACATGCCCACTTTATCCTTTTCTCGAATCCTTATTTTAATTTACAGCACTTTGCAGAACTAAAAGAATCTCTACAGGGTCCTAGATAAAGAGGTCAATAATGTGTAGCTTTAACGACCAGAACGATATCTCTGAGTTTTTGGTGCATGTTAGCGAGATCGCAGCAGAATTTGCCACAGAGAGGTAAAAGACTGTTCTGATAATTCTTTTTCGGATCTGTACTTGAGATGTAAATTAGATACAAGACCTTGAGTACACGAACATGTTAATTGTCAGGAATTCAAATAAAATTTTTCTTTTTAGGCCAAACTAAGCTAAACCAAGAACCGTGAGAACGTTTATTTTTTTCCCCCTATTTTGACCTAAAATTCTGAAAATCACACCAAAAAGTTATTCACAAAAGTATCAATTACTGAGAATTCAAAGTGAATCAGACTGCAAATGATTGAGCAAAATAGTTGAAATGATAAATATTCTTCAAGCCAGCTATGTTCAACTTATGTGACCTAAAACTTGAATTTTCAGATAAGTTGCACTTTACCCCCCCCCCCCAAAAAAATACTAATAATTTTTAAAAAGTCTGTTTTGCCTATGGAATACTTAGGGGGGGGGGAGTGGGGGGCAGAGGGGAGGAGAGGAACAAATACATGGGCCATTAAACACTTTCATATTTGTCAGAAGGAACCAATATGCTGGTATATTCTCTCCTGTCCAAGGACACATTATTCCACTGACTGACAGCACTTGATTCCACCATGCACTGCTGAGCCTCATCTTGCCCACACTTAACATGGCCGCCTGACGTCTTATATAACTGTCTGTTTCCGGTCACATGTCCTGGTACCGGAAGTAGCTGTTATTGTTGTTGATGTCCACGCTGGATAGACATGCCTGTGAGTGACAGCACGCATGGTTGATGCAGGACGGACGGGCGGGCAGGATGTATAGTGACCGGGGACTGGTGCGGGCTGTATATCTGGGCTGCCATGGGTAGAGGGCTGGGGGTATAACCTCACTGATTAGTGCTGTGCAGCATTCACTAATTGGATTATAGTCCATTTAATGGGCTGTCACAGCCAGCCAGGTGCCATAACCACGTGTGGGGGCAGTCAGCAGGGCCCTGGGGCAGTCCCTGGAATATATAACCTTATCCATGGGCAGCATATGCTGGGCCAGTGGGTGCCACGTGTCCTGGCTGAGCTCAGCAGCTGGTGTGCAATATGTCTGTGATGCTGGCTGAGCATCATGTGAATGTATTCCACATAGTCTGCACTGGATAGCTGTATGGGAGAGGCTGTCCTTGTTGGTCTCTGGATTATCACTTAGACCTGGGATAGGTGTTGTGGACTACATCTCCCTTAATCCCATGACACACATAATGCTGGCAAAGCATCATGGGAGGTGTAGTCCAAAACATCTGTAGTGCCCAAGGTTGCCAATGCCTGACTTAGACTATCATTACACCTGTTGCATTTCTAGAAAGCCAAGCCAAGATGGTGGTCAGCTTATTGCAAAGGTGCAATGTTAAGTTTTTGGTGTGTGCCTAATGTTTGACTCTGCTATAATATGGTGCTCTATTTTTGTGAGACGTTCTTGTATCAGGTCCACTGGGTGCAGAAAACAAGTTTATGGACTTCAAGTTGAGGCTGAAGCTGGCTTCTTATTTGGCCAGTTTCTTATTCATGGAAGTTGGTTTCGGAGTCGGCTCTGGGTATAATGTTATACGACCCAAACTGAAATAATGACAACCTATACGGGTGAACTCCAGGCTTAGAATGATGTAATATCATCATTGGTATTGGCCAGTAAGCCATGATCAAACCTTCAGAATTAATTACCCAAAAATTAGTCTGAGTAAGTAACTGGTGTATCAAAGGGTTAAGTGCCTTTGGGCTATGTATTTTCAAATGGCTTTACAGAATGTGGTTCCGTCTTAGACTCACTTGATTTTAGCCTGGCCCAATGGTGACTTTGGCTATACAAATCAGTGACAATCTGTGGGCATTGTTTTTCATGATTTTTGAATAGGTAACTGATGTTTCGAAAGGTTCAATTGCAGTTGGGCCACTGTTTTTCACATGGATTTGCAGAGTAGGGTGCCCTCTTAGACACAATTGTCTTTAGCCTGACACAATGGTGATTTAAAGTAACAATTATAATCAGATTTGGAAATCTCCTGTTAACTAAAGGCATATCCCAGCTAATTGCAATATTTATTATGAAGCATAAAGTACTAGGTATTATGTTACAGTAATTAAAGGAATGCTATGGGTGCCCAAGACACTACTTCTCGATGAAGTGGCCTGGGTGCTCTGCTCCTGTAGGTTTAACCCTGCAATGTAAATATTGCAGGTGGTGGTTGTTGTATTTTTTTGTTTTTTTTTAAATAGGAACTGCAATTTGTACATTGAAGGGTTAAAACTCCCGCAGTGGCTGTGTTCCTGCTGCAGTGCAGTTCCCATAGGAAAGCAACTGATATAATGCATTCCAATGGGGACATTTGATGTGCAGAAGAGGTAATCAGTGCCAGGGGAACCTTAATGCTGAAAAAAAATGTGAGTATAACACTATTTTTATGCCGAGGGGGGGAGAGCTCTGGGGAGCCACCAGATCTACGAATAGGGAAAACCTAAAGCATGAGGAACACATATTTTTATTTGTAATGTTTAGTGTTCCTTTTAAAGAGGAGAAAATCCTTTTTCATATATAAAATAAAGCCTTTATAATAAAGCTATTTTTCTTTCTATAACAGTATAACTTCTGCATTTATAGGATATGTGCAATATAGGGAAATATTATTGTACGTTTCTATGTTGCTTAGCAACCATAACATGATTGGGCAAATAATACACACCCCATGCACATGCAGCACCAATATAAGTACCTACTTTGTCATATTGTCAACTGAAGTGATGTAAGGACAGTGTCCTAGCATTATAATCACTTTCAATAAACACATGTGGTTATGGTGCCCAGAGTGTCCCTTTAATTTCTAACTTACGGAAAAACCTACACGATGCACGCTTTAGGAAGAAGAAAATAAATATTGACAATGGAGGGAACATAACGTTTAGAGTTATTCACTAAAGTGGTAATGAACATGAACTCAAATTTCATTTAAAGGAACACTATAGTGGGGAATGAACACTTGCATTCCTAACTCTAGTGTCCTAATCACTGTTTAGTGTTAAAAATGTATAGGTTTTTATCCCAATCCATGCTGCAATGGTTAAAAATGTATTGGCTTTTTTTTCTGTCATATGGTGGCAGTAACTGAAGGGTTATACTTCTCCCTGTGGACAAGACATCTTAGCAATTAAAAACAAAAAGGACCCTCCCCCTTTCCCTATAAAGTGTTGTACCTCTCAGACATTCCCCAGTCTTCTTTCTTGTCCCGAGAGGGAAGGACAGGACATCGGAGGTGAGACACACGGGTTGTTTGTCTGGGGAACCCGGTCCGAGAGCTGCCCGGGCGGTAGGGTTACGGAGCAGGTGGAGGGAGAGAATTTTATGCCGAACGGTTCCGGCATTACTTCCGGGAGGTGGAGCTCTGGCCGTGCATGCGCACAGCGGTGGAACGCACGCCCGGGTGGTGATTGTGTTCCAACTAGGCTTCCGGGTGAGCAAACACGCATGCGCATACCGGAACCTTAAAGGTGTATATACAAAAAAATGCAAAAATTGAAACCGGTAAATATAAGAAGCTGTGCAGTACCTACTGACTGCATGGATGCAGGTCAGAAATAGTACACCGTGTCACCTGCCCCCCACACTGCTCAGAGGTATTTTGAGGTAAGATTTAATTTGATCTTTACTTTAAAATATTCTCTGAAAATATTCCTTCAATTCAAATGCTGAAAAACCACCTTTTCATATGTTCTCCACAGATGTTTAGCCCAGCTTATCCTGACATGGACAAAGAAAAGCTGGCTGCTGCTACGCCTAGAAAGGCTATGGTTAAATCTAAACATTTAGTTTGCAGTGGATGTGCAACATCTCTCCCAGATGGATCAAGGAAAAAGATGTGCAGTCAGTGTACGGCAAATTCCTTGGATATGCAGTCTTTCCTATCCTGGTTCCAAGAAAATCTGGCCCAGGCCTTGGAGACGATTAAGGAGTCTAAAAAGGTAGAATCCCCGACACAAAAGATCAAGAAAAGAAGAAGGTCGCCATCTACATCTGAAAGCTCATCTGGGGAATATATCTCATCACTTCATTCAGATGATTCAGGTTCCTCTTCAAGTGAACCGGTTGGTTTTCCTGCAGATGAGATTTGAAAATTTATAAAGGAAGTTAACCTAACAATCCTACCTCAGGGTATTGAGAATCCTAAAAAGGGGTTTTTTTTGTTTGGTTTTTTTTTTGGTACAGCAAAGCCTTGTTGATCTCATTTTTAGGGAATGGAAAAACCCTGAAAAACGTGCCTTTATTTCTAGACACTTCAAGGATATCTTCAGACTGGCTGGCGAAGTCATTGTGGAAGATCTCCCTAAAGTAGATGTTCAGGTCGCGCAGATTGCTAAAAAGACCACTATCCCTAAAGGGGAAACTTCAGCTTTGAAGAATCCAATGGATAAAAGAGCCGAAACCTTGTGTAGACGAGCTTACCAGACAGCCGTTTTCCAATGCAGGGCTTTATTGGCAGGAGCAGCGGTTGCCAGAGCAAATGACATCTGGCTAACTACAATGCAGGATGTTTTTTCATCTGACCAGGTTAAAGAATTAGACCATTTGTTTCAAAGAATGCATTTGGCTAATGAATACCTTTTGGATATGTCAGTAGAAGTTCTAAAATTAGCATCCAAAATTATGGGCCTATCCTCTGTAGCAAGACGGGCCTTATGGTTAAGGTCTTGGATGGCGGATTCAGTTTCTAAATCAGTCCTTTCCGAACTTCCACTAGAAAAAAAGAAATTATTTGGGGCTCCCTTAGAAGAAATCATTAGACAAATGTCAGAAACCAAGAAAGCGCTTCCTCAAGATAAGTTTTCCTGGAGGTCAGGATACAGAAATTATCAGAATAAAAATAGAAGATTCTGTCGAGAGACCGAAATTTTTTTCAAAGAAGGGATAAAAATCATAAATTCGAACAAAGGGGTGATATTAAAAGAACCTTCAGAGATAAAGAGAGATGTTTCTGACACCAGAAGTGTAGGAGGAAGACTCCAACAAATTTTTTTCTACATGGGAAAACACCACAGGGAATCCTTGGGTGCTAAATCTTATCCAAAAAGGACACAAGATAGTATTTACAGACAAAACAAGAACAAAGTTTCTGGTATCCACATACCAGTCTGCAAAGAAATCACAAGCCCTGTTTTGTCAAACCATGCTGCTGTTACGAAAAAGAGTTATAGAAAGCGTACCAGTAAAACAAAATTTTTGGGAGGTCTATTCAAGATTATTTCTGGTGCCAAAACCAGACAACTTGTTTCGTCCCATTCTGGACCTAAAATACAGTTATCCCCTATCACAGATTTCGTATGGAGTCAATCACGTCGATTTTTATTTTTTTCCCTTTTACAAAGAGGCGACTTTATGGTAAAAATAGATTTAAAGGACGCCTATCTACATGTTCCAATCGCAACCACTTCAAGAAAATTTCTAAGATTTGCTATAAAAAATGGAAGAGCCACCGTTCATTTACAGTTCAGAGCTCTACCGTTTGGTCTGTCTTCCGCCCCCAAGGATATTTACAAAGATCCTTACTCCTTTAACAGCTCATTTGAGAGAACTACGTATTTCAATCATCCCTTATTTGGATGACTGGCTCCTCGTTGCTCATACAGAAGAACAGCTGCACAGGGACCTGCAGGTTACTTTAAGTTTTCTTCAAAACCATGGCTGGATCTTAAACAGAAAAAAATCGGTACTCATCCCCACGAGAGAGTTAGAATTTCTCGGATTCACGATAGATTCCGTCTACATGTCAATTTTTCTTCCCAAGCGGAAAAGGAGGAAAATCAGAAGAGATTTCCAATCTCCAAAGGATGGAAACTTGTTCCTTCAGACAGGCAATGGGTGTTTTGGGTCTTCTTATTGCCACCTTTCCAGCTGTCAAATGGGCAAGGTCGGAAGTCACTGTTGCAATGGAATATCCTCACTGCCTGGTCAAAAAAGGAGGAAGATTTAGACTAAATCTTCAGGCTGTCACCTCATGTAAAAAATCAGCTTACCTGGTGGAAAACATCAGAATGCCTTTTAGGAGGATTATCGTTTCGGCCAAAGGATTGGATGGTAGTCACTACAGACGCCTCAAGCACAGGCTGGGGAGCTCACTTAGGCTCCACCATGTTCCAAGGAAGATGGTCGTCAGAGGAAGCCAAAGAATCCGCAAATTTCAAAGAATTGTTAGCAGTACTTTACGCACTACTTCACCTCAGGCCTTGGATACTACAAAAAGCAGTGATGGTACAATCGGACAATCGTCTCATATATCAATCGTCAGGGAGGAAACAAAGTAAGGAAGCTTTTCGGTCTTTGCAGATATTATGGAATGGTCACAAAAAAACCTGGAAGATATCAAAGCAGTTCACATAAGAGGCAGTGACAATATAATAGCCGACGATCTGAGCAGAGGAAAGTGGGACCAAAAAGAATGGTCCTTGAACCCGGAAATCTTCAGTTACCTGACAGAAATGTTCGGTCTTCCAGAAGTAGACTTGATGGCAAGAGCTTCAAACAAAAAGGTTCACAATAACGGATTGGCCCAATTGGATAGACGCTTTGTCAATAGAGTGGAACTTCCGACTAGTTTGTCTTTTCACCCCTGCCCTTAATCCCAGAGGTCCTTTTCAAGAGAAGAACAGAGCGATTGTAATAACGATAATCCCATACTGGCCAAACAGTCTGGTTTGCGGCCGTAAAGGAAATGACCATCAATTATTGGGAACTTCCAAGATCAAACCTGCTTATTGTGAACTGGCACCTACCCTTGAAAATCCTAGAAACTTTCAGGTTGACAGCTTGGCTACTGCAAGGTTTACAAGAAGACAGAATAGCAATTTAACTCCACGCAACTAGAAAATCTACTTCTAAGCTTTACTTTAGGATTTGGTCTAAATTTTTTCACTGGCGTAAGGAACACCAGTGCCCAGTTTTGCATCCATCTATAGAGAACATTATCCATTTTTTTACAAAATGGGTTTTTAGCTGGTTTGAGTGTCTCCACGCTCAAGGTGCGGATATCGGCCTTAAGTTTCTTTCTAATTAAAAATCTGGCTACCAATGTCTCCATCAGACGTGTTTTTTTTTTATTTATTTTTTTATTTTAGATCCATCAGTCTCAAACGACCTAGGTTTCCAACATGGGATTTAACCCCGGTCCTACAATCTTTGTGTTCATCCCTTTGCACCTTTGGAAGAAGTTCCATTAAAAATTGGAGGAACTAGACCTGTCTGACACTGACCTTTTGAGAGACTGTTTTTAATACGGTCTTAATTTCAATAAAGGTCAGGGTTCCTATCTCTTCATTCACTGTTCTCACCACATTAGCAAGTACGCCTTAGAATAAAAGGGCTCCTGTCTCTTGTTTTTTGTTTTCTTTTAATTAACTAAGCACGAGAACAATATGTAAAGGTCTGAGGAGAGGGAAGAGTTGTTGCGGACGAATTCTGTGCTGTAATAAAGGATTGACTAAATGTTTGGGGCAGAAGATGACATCGTTGTTTTTTTTTATGTAATGTAAACTCCGTGTTTGAAGCTTGCAGGTTGGTAACCAGGTTTGAGTGACATGACCACGTTGGCAAGGGTTGTATGTTTCGTACAGATTAGAACGTTGAATACCTTCCTAAATCCGTTCACATTTGTTCTGAGTTATTTATGAGTGCAAGTGATAAACCCGCTAACAGCATCCAAAGGTTTTCTAATTGTTGAATTGCCCATGAGTTATCCGAGGACTCTGGGACTTCACTGATTGCATATTTCTTTCTTCTATTTAAAGTGACACTATCACCAAAACGTGATTTATTTATTTTAATATTTTTTTTAATTTTTTTTTAAACCATTCTAACCAGAGGGAGGGCTTCTTAGAATCTTTATGGGATTGCTATTTGTTAGAGGTGGATGGAGTTGGCATGTGTGGACTGCAGCTGTAATTTAATTATTAGATGCCTACACCTGAGGATCTAAGGGAAACTCCCACAAAATGGCTGCCTGAGAAACAAAGAATGTAATGGCAGATAAGAACCATTCGGCCCAACTAGTACTTTTATTAGTCTTTAGCCTTTTATCTAGGATAGCCTTATGCCTATCTAACGCATGCTTAAACTCCCTTAATGTGTTAACCTCTACTACTTCAGCTGGAAGGCTATTCCATGCATCCACTTCCCTATTACTTTACTGGGAGGGTAGTGGATGCATGGAATAGCCTTCCATCTGAAGTGGTAGAGGTTAACATAGCAAGGGAGTGAAAAGATGACAAGTCTTCTTTAAATGGACACATCTGGCACCTGAACACTCAAGTGTATAGGTTTGATTTTTGAGATTGGTTGCTCAATATGCCCATTCTCACTGTTCCTTCCTCTCAAGTTGCAATGTTTCCCCTTTGCTCCAGATATTCCACTATAAATGTTAGTGATATAAATGATGGTTAGAATCTTACATTCTGGAAGTAGTTTAGCTTGTAGCCTTCTACGGTAAAAGCATGACCATTGGAAAGAAAACAAAACTCACAGAAGCAAATTCTGTGTTACTAAAGCACATTATTATTATTATTATTATTATTTATATAGCACCAACAGATTCCGTAGCGCTTTACAATATTATGAGAGGGGATGTAACTATAAATAGGACAATTACAAGAAAACTTACAGGAACAATAGGTTGAAGAGCACCCTGCTCAAAAGAGCTTACAGTCTATAGGAGGTGGGGTATAAGACACGTTAGGACAGGAAATGTCAATCAAATAGGGTGGGAGTGAAGCAGAGCTGGAGGAGAGAGTAAAGCACTGCCCTATAGGAGAGAGTAAGAGACAGGTATGTAAGGTAGAGGTTACTCTGGGAGGCCATAAGCCTCTTTAGGAAACTAAAGAGATAGGTTTTAAGGCTCTTCTTAAATGATTGAAGACTAGGGGAGAGTCTGATGGCGGTAGGCAGGCTATTCCATAGGAAAGGAGACACCCGCGAGAGGTCCTGCAAGTGCGAGTTGGCCGTATGGGTGCGAGCAGCGGTCAGGAGGTGGTCACGGGCAGAGCGGAGGGAACGAGGAGGGGCATACCTATGGATCATTCAGGAGATATAAGAAGGGCTAGAATTGTTCAGTGCTTTAAATGTATGGGTTAGCACTTTGAATTGACTCCTATAGGATACAGGGAGCCAATGTAAGGACTGGCAAAGGGGTGATGTGTGAGAGGATCGACTAGAGAGGAAAATCAGTCTGGCAGCATCATTCATTAGACTGTAGCGGGGCAATACAGCTTTTGGAGAGACCAATCAGGAGAGTTGTGTGTTTTTTTTTGTTTTTTTTTTTAAAACCAAAACACGTGTTGTGATACAAAAGTCCAACTTGACAGATGCAGGTGTGGCACAACAGTAATTTCTACATTTGCCCTGTGGGGAATTGTTATAGTGTTCATTCTCACCACAATTTTTTGGGCTATACACTCTCGGAAGTGTATTCAGCAATCCATCAGGTCACCTTTTAGTGTTTAGGCCGTAAATGACAGAGAAATAAACGGTTACACTGCAGGGGCATGATCATACACTAAAACTTATGGGGTACACTCGACAGTGCTTTAGAAAGGTAATTATCATCATTTTTGGCTTTAAATTTTCATTTTTTTTTAATTTTTTTTTTTTTTTTGGGTATGGGCAGTTGCAACTGCAGAGGCTACAAAATCTGGTGGTTTGCACCAATTTCAGGAACGTCAAGTGGGGGTTACTTTTGGTTTTCGTATTCAGCAATCCATCAGGTCACCTTTTAGTGTTTAGGCCGTAATAATAATCTGGGATAAGAACATACTCTGATAATTCACACGCCATGTAGTACAGTGGTGCTATATAGAGATAAATTACTGTTGTGCATCGCCTCATATCTTAAGATGGACTTTGAAAAGTTCTCCTTGTGGAAACATGATTTCTCTGTTTGACAGAGTTCCCAGATTGACAGGCATTATGTTTTAGACTTTATCCTGTATTTCTGTACGTACCCTTGGCAATAGACACTTCTGTGAGTGTATAGCCAAAAAAAGTATGGTGAGAATGAACACTATAACAATTCCCCAGAGGGCAAATATAGCCACACCTGCATATCTCAAGTTGGACTTTTGTATCACAACACATGCTTTGTTTTTTAAAGCCAATCTGTGTTTAAAATAGCATTCTTCACTGAGGGTACCTACAGAAATGCCTGTCTGTGCTTATTTACATATCGGACTTGGAACTCTGGGATAGTTGTAGAAACATTAAATGCATTGTGGTAAGCTTTATTGTTCTTACTACAATCATTTTGGCGCATAATTATATATAGAAAGTCTTCCTTGGACACCGAAACTAGAGAAATTCCGTTTCCACAACATCCCAGAGTTCCAAACTCTGCACTGTGGGGAGGTGTATTGCGTTTGGTCTCACCACAATCTTTTTCGCACCTAGATATATTCATATCTATATCTCTATATATCTCTAACTTTTTTTTTTTTCTACAATTAAATATTGCTGCAGCCACTGGCACCAATATCCCCATCCCTTTCTTGTATCACAAGGTGGACCTACGGCTTTCTTTGCCCCATCAAGGTCTTGTATATTGTGTGCATGCCGTAGAAGTGGCAAGTAACTTGTACTGGCTCTTTCGTGGACTGCTTTGTGAAATGGCTGTATTTTATTTTCAGTTGGCTAAAGACTTGGTGAACCCGTCCTCTGAGGATGAAAAGAGATGTCACAAGAAGAAGAGGTTGGTTCAAAGTCCAAATTCCTACTTCATGGATGTAAAATGCCCAGGTAAAGTACTCCATAATTATGAACTTAAAGTACTGAAGGGAAAATAAGTGATCTAGGAAAAGTTAGAGAATACTGAAAGTATTTGTGTACAAACGTATTTTTTTTCTTCTTTGACTGAATAAAAGGCTTGTGTATTGCGCCTGCAAGGGTGTCTTCCACTTGTTCATAAATGGGGGAGCCCGTACATGTGCACGCATGTGATCACAACCTGCACATGTACAGCAAGCCCCTCCTAGAAATCCGAGCTAAACAAGGGATTCGCTGATTAATTTCAGCCATTTCTTGGTTGAAGCGGACATTGCTATCCAAAGGATCGGAACATGGGGTTTGACGCATGAGATCTTCCTACCTAGGTGAGTATTTAATTCATAGTTTAAACATGGTCTATCATGCGTTAAAAAGGTAATTTAAACCCTTCCCTGGAATGTCCAATTAAAATCTCTGTTTATATTGCTTCCAGGCTGCTACAAGATTACAACCGTTTTCAGCCATGCACAAACAGTTGTGTTGTGTGTAGGATGTTCCACGGTTTTGTGCCAACCTACAGGTGGCAAGGCCAGGCTTACAGAAGGTATGTTCCTTTTTTTTTATGCTTACAATCAATCTCATGAAATGCAGTCCTTTCATCCCTCCTTGTCACTGGGACCAACAAAGAGCTGTCTCCATAACTGCAGAGTACCAATGTCATATACCTTTTGTGTAAGATTCCTGGCTTGTTTTGGCTCCGCTTCCTTTGCTCAGTTATACCGTACCCATGTACTTATTTACACCACAGACACCTATTTCTGTGATAGTCATATAATAGTTTCAGAACATATGTTTATTTAAAATATTGCTTTAATGAGCCCATGTCACATTTGTCTACTAGAAGTATATACCATAATACGTGTATTATCCAGTTTCTAATTGTTACTTCTCTGGCAATTCTGCTTTTAGATTCCTTAGAACTTGTGTTTACCTCCTGCATATGTAATGTTCCTTTTTATGTTAAGGGGTTTATTTTAGATAAAGCAAATGACCTCACAATTCAGTTAAATTAGAATGAGAATGTACTTTTGGTTTCACTCACTCATGCCTCCATCATGGTCTCTCTCTAAATATAGTGGATAAGTAAAGAAAATATTTCAAAATCGAGGGAGGTGACAACGCCCCTTTAACAAAAAAGGCAAGACTGATAAAAATGTTACGAGTTGTTAAAATTCACATTTTGTGTTTACAGGATGTTCCTTCAGAAAAAAACAACACTAAGCGTCCTGTCTACTGTACGACTTAATACTGATTACGCAATGTAATTATCGCTCCTCAGGATGAATTGCCTTATATGTGGTCCTATAAACCACTCTCCTTGCTGTGGTATAGTACTAGTTGGCTTTTGAAATTTGAAATTCAGGGAGACTTTTGCAGTTTGATTATGTGCAAACATTTCCTAAAAAAATAAATACAAATTTACAAGTGAATGGTTTGGTTTTGGTGATTTTTCATTCTCCACCCCACTCCCCCTAAGTTAATTCACTGAATGATTTTAATAATCAGGTGGACACTATACACGGCTAGGAAATTAACATTATGAAATAAGTAAACAAATCAAAGGTATTTCAAATAATGTTTTATTGGCAATAGAATTTTTTTTTATTTTTTTTTTAAACTGTTCTAAGATTTCCGGTTAGCTTCAAAGAGTACCGTATATACTCATGTATAAGTCGATCTCATGTATAAGTTGAGTGCAGTTTTGTGACCAACAATTGTGAAATATGCTATGCCTCGTGGATAAGTCGAGGGTAAAACTTGGGGCTATGAAATTCTGTGATTTTTATAATTATATACACACACTCATACATTTTATACACACACAATTATATACACACACTCATACAAACACACACTCTGCATTATATACACACACTCTGTGTATATAATGCAGAGTGTGTATATAATGCAGAGTGTGTGTTTGTGTAGTGTGTGTGAACTGGGTGGGGGGAGGGCATTTTTATTATTTAATTTTTTTTTATTTTAATATTATTATTTTTTTATTTAATTTTTTTTTTGTCCCCCCTCCCTGCTTGTTAACTGGTCAGGGAGGGGGGCTATCTTAATCCCTGGTGGTCCAGTGGCATGGGCTGTGAAGTGGGGGGGCCGGCAGGAAGCATTTACTTACCTTTCCTGCAGCTCCTGTCAGCTCCCTTCTCCTCCGTTCCGGTCAGCTCCACTGTAAGTCTCGCGGTCTGGTTGCCGCGCGGATCGTTGCCATGGCTCTGACGGCCGCGGCTCTCTAAGTTGCCATAATACAGACAGTGACTCGAGTATAAGTAGAGTGGGGGTTTTTAAGCACAAAAAATGTGCTGAAAAACTAGACTTATACTCGAGTATATACTGTAAACCTTTTCAAGAGGGGAAAGAGTCAAACCATCAGAAAGGAATTCTAATAAATAAAATTTGTTCCGAGGGGCGGCGCCTGACTTCCGGCGCGAATGGCGGCTTTCTGAGGGAGCTCCGTCCTCGGAGGCACAGACCCGGCAATCATCAGCACCCGCAACCGGCTCTCACACACCCACCCGGCCACCTCGCAGCTCACCCACGGTACCTCACCACATAACGATGGGGGGCGGGCGGAAAATAAAGCAGGGAGCTGCAGAAGTAGCTCCGATATTCCGGAGCCGCAAAGATGGCGGCGCCACGCGGGAGGAAGAAGATGGCCGCGAATATGACTCAGACTCAAGTGACAGGAGCAGAACAATGGCAGCTACACCCCTCACCAAAGAGGACCTCCGCCAGCTACTAAGTGACATTAAGGCAAATATGGCTACAGAATTTGACAGGCACCTCACACCCATCAGAGAAGGCCTGATTGATTTGACCCACAGAACCTCCACAATTGAGGAACAACTGGACCTGACAGTTACACGCACAACAGCAACTGAAAATGCCATAACCGCACTACAAGAACAGCTCCGACAGTTAGAGGAGGCACAAGAGGACCTGAACAACCGGTCCCGCCGAAATAACGTCAGGATACGTGGAATACCAGAAACGGTCACAATAGAGGCACTGGGCCCAACGCTGCGAGAGCTCTTTTGTGGCCTGCTCCCAGAGGCCACGCCGGCGGAACTCCTACTAGATAGAGCGCACAGGGCTCTCCGAGCACCTATGCCCAATGCAACCCAACCCAGGGATGTTATCATAAGAGTGCACTACTTCCACATTAAAGAAGCACTCATGCAAGCGGCACGAAACACCCCCCTACAAATAGAAGGTCACCAAATCTCCTTCTACCAGGACCTGGCCCCGAGCACCCTGCGCAAAAGGAGGGAGCTGCGGCCCCTCACTCAGGAGCTCACGAGACAACACATCCGCTACTCATGGGGGCACCCATTTAAGCTGCAGGTCCGGAAGAACAACCGCACCTACACCCTATACAACACCGCGGAAATGGCAGATTTCGCAGAGAGCCTCGGCCTGGATCCCACAACTCTCGCCACGGACCCGAATCCCAGAAGACACGACAGAGGCCCTCCGCCCAGAAATGCACCACCGACAGCCCCGGCACGCCAGATACCGAATAGCCCACGCATCAGGGCCGACAACTAAACGGACCGACAACCACTCACCACTCGACACACCAACAGAGGACCGACATACCAAATAAGAAATAAGAAACGACACGGACTACTCTCAAGAGGATCCTGGTCACCACAGCTGACAAAGTACCCGAACACGAAACCTGGACTGACTAAAGAACATTGGCAATCCCACACCTTGATAATGGACTGGAAACAGCCTAAACCGCTGACAACTCCAAGCGCCAGATAAGCTATAATTAACAAACTCTCTCCTTGCTTTATATAATGTTTCCTGTTCACTATTTGGTTGCTAGGACTCATTCGGTAGACAGTACTTATATGTCTCCAGTCACTAGGCATCCTTCCATAAATGGAAATTATAGACTCAGGAATGTGGATAGCACGCACTAGTACCCTGCTTGGCACCAACCCACGTAGACATAGACCACTGCCACCCAGGGTGCAAAATGGAACAGCTGCCCCACATTCACCCACCACATAGGTACCCTAGATACCGCAGCATAAAATACCACAACCTAGCACAAAAACGGAACAGACACCCATAGGGAGGCACACTCTGGGCAGGGAGGGATGGCTGGGGCACCCTCCAATAATGGGCATAGCAGGCGCCCAATACAAGACAAATTTCGGGAGTACACCTCAAAACACTGACGGCTCCCGTGAGCGTAAACACTTCCCCAGGAGACCCCATAAAGCAGTATCCAGGAACATACTCTGCTCCCGCACAAAACACACTGGGACCCAGGAGATGTAGGCACACCCTCCACACAGAAAATCGGGGACAACACCACGAGCACCAGAGAGAATGAGCACAAACGGCACGCCCTGGGAAACAGCAGGACTTAGACAGGCACACCCAGAGCACATACAACCCCTAGGGCCCAATGCAAGCTGGGGCACCACCAAGGATAGGACCTGACCAATACAGGGAGGGTCTCACACTAACCCACAAGACTTGCAAAGACAAAACACCAGGCAACCGAGGGACCGGGAAAGTGTAGCTATCACCCAACCCCCCCATTCCTTCAGCCTCCCTAGCCCAGGGACCTCCTAGGGCTCCCCACAGGGAGACACCATAGGGGAAGATACGCAACACGGGAACCCCTGGATACTAAAGCAGAGGAAATGTATATAACTGAATTGAAGTTGATGTTAAACTGTTGTGTTACAATGTAAAACTGTTACTCATTATTTTTCAGTTACCCGACACACCCCACCCCACCTCAAGTGCTGACGAACGCCACTTACAGCAGACGGCATCCTGACGACATCTTACGACTGGACGGTGACAGCACACCCTCACCACGGCACCATTATTAGATGCATTAACGACCAGACCAATGCCCCACGGGCTCACAAGGTACAACCCTACATACACACGGCACGACACGCAGAGGGCTACCCTCGCGGACGCAACGCCTTCACAACGCTGACCGACCACAGCACACAAGGTAACGCGGACGACTACTGAAAACTGCCTCTGGACGACCCAGACCGGACGGTCGCCAACCCCAGACACACACACACCTACCCGAACTCACGGGGAAACCCACGGAGCGGTCGGACGCTTCGCCCCACTACCTACTGGCCTTCGGATAAGCCCAGTAGCACACTCTACCCATTTCTCCCCCCCACTGCCTTAACCCAGGCTAACACCCTCAACCCTCCTGCCCCCCCTTCCCCCCACCCCTCGCGGCCCGCGGCCACCCGGACGTGCAACTCAAGACACTCCATCACTGCAAAACCGCAGAGACCGCCACGCTCCTACAGATAACATGCCTACACAAATACGCTGCATCTCCATCAACGCCAAGGGGTTGAACTCCCCTAACAAGAGGCACGGCATACTACGCTGGGCACATAAACAGCAAGCTGACATAGTCCTCATACAGGAAACCCACTTCACAATCAACCGCATGTTCCCCCTCACTAACAGATACTACACACAAAGCTTCCATGCTCCCTCCCCAGACACCAAGACCAAAGGTGTAGCGATCCTTTTGAGAGCAAACAGCCCCCTCACAGATATCACTTGCTCCAAAGACCCGCAGGGTAGATACATCACCATACGGGGAAAAATAGGCACAACACAGTACGCCTTTTCATCGCTCTACGCACCCACAACACCAGACCCAACCTTCTGGCAACAATTAGCGACTCACCTCAACACGTACTCAACCACACGACTTATAGTGGGCGGGGACTGCAACGCAGTACACACACCTGCCGTAGATCGGGCTTCAAGCGCCAAAACACGAACTCGCCCAAACCAAAGCGACGCCCTCTTCGCACAATTCCTGGCTTCCCATAAACTGATTGACATATGGAGGGCACAACACCCGACCACCAAAGATTACACTTTCTACTCCCACCCACACAGATCCTATTCACGCATTGACCACTTTCTCATCTCACCAAACTTACTATCTCAAATCACCAAATCGGAGATTGGACCTATCTCCTGGTCCGACCATGCCGAGATAACAATCACTCTAAGCCTACCAACCATACATACACACTGGTCATGGCGACTTAACCCAATACTCCTCCACGATCAACTGATCAGAGACAAAATAACTATCGCAATCAAAGATTATTTCGAGTTAAACTCACCCACAACGACCTCACCTATGACCCTCTGGACAGCACATAAAGCAGTCATCAGAGGCACACTCATCAGCCTAGCCACCCATAAAAAAAGACAAACACAACGACAAATACTAGAAACGATGACAGACCTCCGCCGACTAGAAACGGAACACAAAAAGAACCCTAACCCGACCACCCTGTCCAAACTCACGGCGATCAGAAACCTCCTTAACACCCTTACACAAGCAGACACAGCCAAAGCTCTGATGTGGCTCAAACAAAAATATTAT